GAACCTCAGCTCCAGGCAAGGCCGCAGGCTCGGGCACCAGCGGTAGAGGCATACACTCAGAGGGCTGAGGGTTCAGAATCAGCTTCCCGCCATCATCCCAGTACCACAGTTTGAAGTGCTACAGGACGCACCCAGTCCACTCTTACTAAGGGAGGGATTCAGGTCCTAAAAAATGCAGTGGACTTGTCCACAGTCACATTACTTGTTTGTGCAACCCCCGCCTGTACACCCTTCCCGCAGCACAGCACCACCTCTCCCGGATTCCAGGCAGTGAGTGGACTCAGGCTCCCCCCAGTCTGCTCCACATCCAGCCTCCCCACATATCTTCTGCCCCCACAGCTCTGGCTGATGTGTGTCCCCTCCTTTGCAGCTGGCTCTCCTCACAGAACTGTCCCAGAACCGTGGCAGCGAGAGCTACCGGCCGTTCAGTGGCTCCCAGAGTGGCCCTGCTTTCAACAGCATCTTCCAGAACGAGAACTTCCAGCTGCAGCTCATTCCCCCGCCGGTGACTGAGGACTGACACCTCTCTGGGGCCTGGCCCTGAAGGCCAGAGATGATCCCCATCCCGAGGATCCCAAGGCAAGTGGGCCGGGACCCCTCTGGACCCGCTGGGCCCCCACTGCCTCCCACACTTTAGAGCAGAGGCCCAGGTGGGCTGCCGTGGCCGGGCGCTCCCTCCCAGCGAGGCCCCTCCCCGTCTCTCCGGTGACGGTGCTGCAGCAGCAGCTCACCAGTTGGTTCTGTTTCGCTTGTTAAGCAGAGGAATGTCACACACCTCCATCCAGCTTTTTGAGAAAATGTGCTTTGCCTGTTGGGACTTTTTCCTGTTTCCCTGGACACCTAAAGAATAGGTGGAGCTCATATGGGTGGCATTCTGGAGTCTGTCACACTTGTCTCCTTCACCATGGAGGGACTTCAGCTTCTGCTGCTGTTGGGAACAAGGAACAGGGTCGGCCAGGCCAGGCTGCAGCACAGCTCAAACCTGCACTGCAGGGAGCCAAGGACCTGCGGGCAAGGGCATCTCCCTATTGATATGTTTATGTGAAAACCCCTTTGAGTCTAAGACTGTCCCTTTCCAAGAATAAATACCTCTGTTTAAGTTCTGCAGGCCTGCTGGCTGGCTGGCTGGCTGCCTCTCAATCTATCAAGTCATAAAGGACATTTAGAACACCTGTTACGACAATTCCCTTTTGTTAGCTTAAAGTCAAGGACCTTGCTTGTGACAACAGCACCTTTACTCAAAGCAGCAGCAGCAGCTCCATCACGACTCCATTCAGAGCAGAGCGGCCCAACCACCGAGTGCTGCTATGCTGGGGACTAGGCTGCCAGAGCAGCGTTTTTACATATCTTGGCCCTGGGTCTTTGTATGTCATTGGGCCAAAGACAGAAGGTCACCACACACAGAGACGAGGCTTCCCCCTCCGGGCCAAGGCGATCCATTTTCATCAGTCCACTCAGGGATGATGAGACTCACGTGGACTGGCTTACTGATGCCAACCAAGCCACAGGACACACAAACTAGACACAAGGCTGCTGACCTTTAATAGACAGGTGATCCTGCTTTGGCCACATACTAGCTGTGATCCTGGGCAAGTCACTTCTCCATGCTTCAGTTTCGTATAAAATAAAACTGTTGTAAGACTAAGTGAAGCAATGCAGGCCATGCAAACGTCCCTGAAACGCCAGCCTAGCCCTGACTATGTAGGCACACCTCATGTTATTACATCCCCTTCCCTGTACTGCACAGGTTTTGTATTCTTTACCAACCGAAGGCAAAACCCTCCACCAGCAAAAAGATGACTTGCTTAATTGCAACACTCTATTTCAGTGTTTGGGAACCAAACCCCTAATACCTCTGAGATGTGTAACTCCCCCCCCGCCCACCCCCCAAAACCTGCTGCCCAGGCTGCTGCCTCCGCACCTGGGCGGAGGCCAGATGGGAGGACGTGGCTGAGCATTAAGTGACCACCACTGGATGCTGGCTGCAGCTACATGAGGTGGTCTCAACCCATTTCGTGAAAGAGAAGGCTGCGGCTCAGATGTAATAAATAAGTTAACCAAGGAGACACACTCAAGAAATGGCAGAGCAGGGATTTGAACTGAGAACTGTGTTTCCAGAGCCAAGATGCTACCTCCCCAAATCATAGATCAGAAGATTTCTTGATGAGCTTAAAATTAAGGCCAAGGAGTTTGATATTCTCAAAGCAATCTTGGTAATTGTCCCTCACTCTATAGTCTAAATGAGCCAAGGCACTTTACTGAGTATTGAAACCCCTTCCCAAATCAGGGCCAATCAACACCAGCCAATAACTCTCCTCCAGCCCGTCTGTTTCCTGTGACTTGTCATTCGAGTCACAGCGCCACTGAATGCACTACATCAGCTCTACGTGCAGGGTCTGGCCTCCTAAGGGGAACCTCAGGAGTGGATTTGAAGGGCCTTCTTGTCTTACCTAAGGGTAGATGAGAAGCTGGTTCTAAGCGCTGGGCACTGGAGATGTGCAGGCTGAGCTGAACCCCGCTCCCTGCCACCGTCACTGCGCCCACCCCCTCGCGTGGCACTGAGCACATGTTCCAGTCTGCAGTGATGTTGGGCCCCACTTCAGAGCAGTTCCTTAGGGGCAGAGACTGATGTGAAAATATTTCTAGACTCAGCAAGAGCAGCCGTTCTGCCCACACAGCCAAGGGTGGTACTGGGGAAGCAGGGGCTCCCAGTGAGGGGCAGCCAGCTCAGCTGCTTTTCTAGGCAGGCGCTCGCTCACCGTGGTGAGAGGAAGGTGAGAGGGGGCAGTGGGTGGGGCGGTTCCAGAGACCCTTTGGCTACCATTTGGGGAGGGCAGGTACCTGGTCTGAATGTCTCCTCCCCTGCTACCCCAAAGGGCGGGAGGGATGATCCTCTGAAAGGAAATCAGGACCCTGGTAAGAGAGGGGAGTGGATTCTGGGTGGCCAAACACAGCAGTGTCCATCACAGCTTTGTTACCTGGTAAAAAATAAGTATCTGAATGGACAATGTGAAAACATAGTCAATCTCAGCTCCCCGCTCCAGCCCGAGGCCCCCCACACCCACACATCCCACACTCTGCACTTGTCCCCCGCCCCACCCTACCCACCCCACCCCCCACCACCAGGGCACAGAGCGGCACCCAGCCGTGCACCCCAGGCAGAACAGACTGTTGGAAAGAGCCATGGGGTCTAGGCACGGCCCTGGCCCACGCCAGAGCTGAGGAAGGCTGTTTGCTCTTCTGAAAAATAAAAATAAAAGTGATCTGCTCCGCCTGTAGCAAAGTCCAAGTAACACGTGGGAAGATACTTTACAGAGTAACACTTCCGACCAGAGCCTACCCTGGTGAGGGGGAGGAAGAGGTTTGTGGAAGAGGAAAGCCAACAGGAGCCTCATCAATGATGAATGCTTTAGAGAATAAATAATTCAGAGCTTTGGGGATCCTTTTAGAAACTGTATGTTCCTACGCAGCTCTGCCCGGTGAGAATGTTTTTCCAAAGGAGCCTCTCCAGAACCAGATGCCTGGGGTGAGCCCAGAGATGCGGGAAGGCCTCCTGGTGTGCTGTCCTCTGGCAGCCCAGGGCCAGCGCCAGGACCCCAGGGGGTCTGAGTACCGCTGAGCTCCCAGAGGGCAGCCTCGGCCTTAGAGCTCATCATCCCAGCGGCCCCTCCGCTCAGGGGCATCCCAGGCCATCTTCCTCCCCCAGCCGGCCGCCTCCGCGCCCTGACGCTCCATGAAGCCTCCCCCGGCTACCTACCCAAGGAAAACAGCAGTTGGACTCACCTTATTTTCACAGGTGGGTGTTTTCCTGTCTGTTTCCTACACTCCCGAGGTCAGGACTATGTTCTGTCCACTCCACAGCATAGTGCTTAATACTATTAAACAGGTATCACCACATTTTCTTTAAAATCACTTTTTCTTAAGTTTTTATGAACAGAAATGTTCACAAACCACATGTATGCAGCTGGATTAATTCACAAAGTGAACAGACATGTATAAGCAAATAGAAAGGACCAGCCTCCTGGAGGCCCACCGCCCCTCCAGTTAAACACTATCCTGACTTCTGCCATCGTAGACGGCTTCGCCAGGGTCGGGCTCAGTCAGAGGTGGGCCTCAGGTGTGGGGGGGGGGGGGGGGGCAAGTGAGGGAGAGGTGAGGCCTGAGGAGCAGCAGGGCAGGGTTCAACTGCACAGGCTCGAGTTGAAGAAGTGTCTCTGGCTGGACTCGGAGTCAGTGGAACGCTGGCACTCTGGCTCTGCTACTTACCTGCCACGTGTGACTGGCTCACCTGCTCTTGTAGTTGACTTAGCTCTTGGTTGCTTCAGCCACGCACTCACAAAATTATCCTGCTCTCCACCACAGGATCCGTGGGTGTGGCAGGCGAGTCCCCACTCAGACAGGTGATGTTCCACTGACCCATGATGCTGGGTTTCCTGTCACATCTTGCAGTGACACTCCAGATCTCTTTCTCGGGATCAGTCAGCTGGGGTTTTGCACTAGGTGACAGGTGACTAGGTACCACAGGGGGCTAAAACGTCGCACCAGGGCCCTAGCTTTCTAAGCTCCCGTCTCCAAATTCACAGCAGAGCTTCGGGCTAGGGACCGAGAAAGACAGCAACAAATCCTCCCCTCTCTCCAACCCAGTGGCCCAAGGACTCTGCAGCCGTGGCTGGAAGCCTGGCATGGGGTCCCTCCTCTGTGGAGGCCGGTCAGTCCCAGGGCCCACAGTCCCCAGTCCTGCTGTTACTCGGGTCCAGCAGGTAAATGAGTGGTGGGGCTGCTGCCCGACCTGCGGGCTCCCCATCGCCACCTCCGCCCCACACCCCCAGCAGAGCCAGACTGCACCTGCACAGACTGCCCCCCGACTGTCATCTCCCGCACAGAGATGCTTGCTGGCTTGTTTCTCATTGTAAAACCAAGATCCATTAATATTAGCAAACTAGGAAAAATTCAAAAGAGCAAACAGAAAGGCACCATGAACATCTTGGCATATTTACTTTGCCTCGCCTTTCACTTTCATTTCTGCCAAATTCCTGTATCTGCCCTTGGCCTCCAGTTGCCTCTGTTCGAACCCTGCCGCGGCCAACCTGCGTCCCCAGACCCTGTCTCACCCACAGCTCACACAGGACTGGGCGGCACACCAGGGTTAAAGGCATATCGTTCCCAGTGATTGAACTGTAATGAGGCAGAGAGGCTAAATTAAAGTTTACTGCAGAATAAAAGTGTGTGTAGTCAGCAACTGTAAGAGGCTACAATGAAATGCCTTCTAGAACTTGGCAACACTATTATGTAGGGTTAAATTAGTAGAATGCACACACAGGAGATGAGATTAGCTGTCTGCAGAAGTCACTCTAAAAGACAAGCTGTCTTTCATGAAGGCAGAAGAAGCTAGCCTTGAATGCGAGTCAGATGCGATTAAACATGGAAGCAGCGCTGGCCTGATCAAAGCACTGGGACGGCTGCAGGAAGACGGGGTGCGTGTGTGCGCACACGTGTTGGGGGAGGTCGGTGTGGAGCACAGAAAACGGGGAGAGGGCGAGGAAGCCTGTGGGCGCTTCTCCAAGACTGCCTGGAGAACAGCACCCTGGGGCAGGCGTGGGCCACCAGCCTGCGGGGAGGGGTTCGCTGGTTGGGGACAGGGATGGAACCCCTGCTGCCCTCCTCCCAGGCTCCCCGAGCAGCCACCCGACGCAGCCCCCGAGTACACTGAGGGCGGGAAGGTGCTACAGGACCACAGAGACCAGGGGCCGAGCGTGCGGGCTCCAGAGCCAGAGACTGGGTTCAGATCCCGACTTCTCCTACTTACACACTGTGCCACCTGGGGCAAGAATATTTCCGTCCTGACTGCTTCTCCTGGTTGTGAAATGGGGTTGCTTGAGGATTACTCATAGAAAGCAGTAAGATAGGCGATGAGCTATAATTATTAATAATACTAACAATGATATTATTACTATGACTAACAAAAGAATTTATTTAGCAATCGCGGTGAGGTTATTCAATAAATGTCAGCCCCACAAGTTGTTCTTTTCTGGCTGTGCTGAAGGCAAAAACTGAGTTCCCGGGCTGGCCAGCCTGCGGTCTGGACGCCGGCCTGGGCGACCACGGGCTGCCGGCTCGAGGACCTGTGGTTAAACGGTCTTACGTGACAAGTGTGAACTGAATACGGAGCGTGCAGCTTTGTGTGGGAGAAACGCTGTCTGCGGGAGAATGTGTGATGGTGCATAAGCCTGACACAGCCAACAGAAAACCCGTATTAGGAAGGGTCTGGGGAGCCAGCACAAGCAGTGCATTCCAGGTGACGACACTTACCTACACTTTGTGAAGTTTCTGTAAAGTTTAAATGAGATAATGCTGTAAACTGCTTATTTCCTGGCACAATGTAAGCCCACATTATAAATGTTTCACATTTTACAAATGTAGCTTTGTTTTTAGTTCACTGTGTTATATAAATCAGAACCTCTCAAAAGGGGGAGACTGCAGGGAAAGAATATTCCGAACTCCAAAATAACACATTTGTGCTGGTACAAAAGAAAAAAATCACATTTATTTTACAAGGCAGTTATTTTCCTAAAGTATTATACAGAAAGGAAAGTTGAGCTGTCTGTAGGAAAACAATATCATTTTAGTAAATTACAGAATGGTCAACGTTGTGCTTAAAACTTTAAAACAGATTTTAAAAACAGCATAGTAAGTGACTATTTCAAGGTATGAACGGCCTAAAAAAGTGTGTGTGAACAAAGTACTATGGAAGTTCAACACCAAAACCTCTGGTGACACTTTGCTTCCCGACCTGTTCAGAGTGTTAGGAGACAACCGTGCCAATCCTAATAGAAAAAGGAACTCAAAGTGCTTAACAGAAACACGGCCCTTTTTGAATACAGTCCACTCTCGATATCCGTGATATTGAAAGGAATCTGTGACATATAAAATTTTTAAAAGGTACATAATTCCAAAATTAATTTTGAGAAGTGCTCTCGTACTTATGCTTGGGCGTGGGGAACACCGACCTCCCTGGAATCGCAGCCCCGATAACGTGAGGGGAACTCCTCCTTCCTGCTTCCCCCTCAAGGGCAACACGCCAACCACGGGTTACTTCCTAAAAAGCCTAAAACACAACTGGCCACCTTGATTTTGGTTCACAGCTCCTCTGGAGAGGGGAATAGGAAAGAAGACTGTTAACATTTTTGTTTCCCCATGTAAAATGCCAAAATGTTTCAATAAAATTTTGCAAACAAGATGGAATAACCAAGAACCAACTGCATAAATATTATTTTATCTTACTACGCCGTTTTTCTTGCCTAGCAGTATTTATACTGCTAAATATGCCTGCTATTTTGACAGCTTTATAAATTATCTGGTTACATCCTATTACCCAAATAGAGAAATTTGCATAAAAGGAGTTGTTATGATCAGTTCCAAAAAAACTGTGATGTATCCAACAGGCCAGGAAGTGGAGGTTAAGAAATCAAACCCCACCCTGAAGTCAAAATCAAATCCAAAAGGTGCTTCTGGACAACTTCCAGCTTGGCTCTGGTTTGAGTGGTCTTTTATTTTGTGTAGTAGTACCATAAACTACAAGTTCTCCCTTTCTAGGACAGCAACCTTGTTTTCTTCAGGATTTCCCTCAAATTCTCTTTTCAAATATTGAAAATTACAAGGTTAAAAAAATATATCTGGCTATGATGGTAAAGCCTTGTTTGTTAATGTACCAACTAACTACAACCACAAAGCATTTTAATTCCTTTGTCATTTCTCAGAAAAGTCAGAATTATTTGAAACCTGAAAATTCTAAAGTAAATCTTGGTTAAATAAAAAAGCTAAGTTCCACACAGCACTTATTTTCTATCTTCTACCTAATAGCTTCATACCAACTTTCAGAAAGTGGGAATGGGGCCAGGCGTCTACGCAAGCCCGAGAAGGCTGTCTCTCCCCCACACAGCCCGCACCTCTGCTCCAGGTGAGCACGCCTCCGGGTGCGGATGAGAAAGCCCTCGTCTCTCAGCGCACGAGTGTGAACCAAGGGCTATTTAACACGACTGTGTCCGACAATACAATACACATCTAAATGTTTTCTAAAGTGCCTATAAATATGCTTATACAAATGAGTAATATAGTATCAGGATTACAGAGAGATTCTTTTATATAATATAGAACAGAACAGGCCTAGAATTGAAGTTGAGGCTACATGTTTTTATATCCTTATCAGTTGGTTTTGGAATGCAAGCATAAAAAAACAATTCTGGTTCGATCATATATGATTTCCTAGAGACTTATTAATATCAACAGTGCTAGGACAAAAGAAATTGTTGCTTGTGCTTGTTTAGAAAAGGTTATTTTGAGATCCAGGAGCATCTAATATTTAGAATCCAATGGAACATCTCCAATTCTATAAAATAGTAGTAAGGAAAGCTTCGTGAGTTTTTAATTATAAAGAGATTGTGCAAATATTTAAAGTGATATCGACCATTATTAAATCCAAAAATTCCATTAAAATTGTGGCTACTCTGAATGGCAGTTCAGGAGTTTTAAAAGTGACAGATATTACTGATAAAGGGCCCAACCCCCACGCAGCCAGGTTCAGAACCTCGGCCCTGCGACCATGTATTCCCATGGCTTTAAAGACCTTGTGGTTGAGTCCAGTTCATGTAAGGGACAGGGATGTGGGCCCAGAGCAGAGAACTGATAGGAATGGCACAGAGAGGGGGGGCCCTTTGAGCGCACACTGGGGAATCCAATGAGCTTACCCACTGGGGCCGTGTGGGGGTGCAGACAGGGCCCTGATGTTGCTGTCACCGCCCCGAACACAGCAGCTGACTGCATGGCTTCTGGGCTCGCCTGCAGCTGGCCACGCAGTCACGGAGGCACTGAGAGCCTCTCGCAGGCTCAGCCGATGTCTGTCCCTAAGCCACCTGGGCTGGGTGGGCCAGGCTGGTGGGGAAGCCCCTGTCTGCACCCCCACCTCCCCCACCCTCTCCTGGGCCCTCCTGTTCCTGCAGCTTTTCTCACCACCTTACTGGTTTGACTTGTTGCGTCCATACATTTCAGTGAGTGGGAACCTTACACTGCATTCTCACCCAGCATAGAAAGTTTTAATGGACACTGTTCTCGCAGGGATATGCATACTCTGCATTCTAAACCCAATGGGTGTTCTGGGCACTTCAACCTAATAAAGTGTTCTAGCCAATCACTTGAACTACACGTACAACTAGGAAAGCAGATTCTGCCCAGAGTGATTTGTGAGGGAAGCCAAGTAGAGGCTTCAGAGAGGAACACAATAGGCCTCTTCTTATTTTTTAAAACACAAACTAACGTAGCACATAAGAGAGGTGCCATGGTGGTGACACAGCATGAGATAACACCACAAGAGCATACTCACGGACAGTCAGGCTGTAAGAACTACTTCTCTATCTCCAGCTTTGACAGTTCGAGTTTCACTAGGCCATATGTTAAATTTCCCGGATTCTTAGCTACGTCTCACAGAGAGGAGATCTGGAGAAATGGCAGATAACCAGCTCACACAAGAACACCTGGCGTAAATGGAGATGAGGAGTAGAATTCTGAAGCGAGCTAAATAAGAATTACTCACTATTTTGCATGTGTGAGAAAAGAGAACATGTACAACAGACCATGAATATTACTGTAGTAAAGTGAGTGAATATTACACAAAGTATTTTCTCCTGACTCAGCAGTGCACTATTTCAACTGCTTTTGCATTTGCATAAAAAAACATGCATCATACTGAATTCTAACCCATTTCTCACCCAAGCCATTCTAAAGCTTCATACAACCAAATGAAGCAAATTCATCAAACCTATTAGATTCATTCCTAATCCCTAATCCCTAAAGGACTGCTGTCTTTAGCATTTCTAGGCTAACTAAAACTATTACTGATACTTTCTTAAGACATCAGATGTGGCTGCCTCCTAAATATAATACCTATATAACTTCCTAAAAGGTTTTTTTTTTTCCAAATTTCAAGAACAATTAAGAAAAGCAGGGAAATGTTAGGAAACCCACCCGGGAGAGCAGCTCAAACATGCTGTAACACATTCCCCAGCTACAAGCCAAGAACAGCTCTCCTTCCCCTGGGTTCCCAGAGCACTCTGGGTAATGTCACCTGCATGTGTTCTCTCCACTGCTGCACTATGGTTCCCGTCACGCGGGGAGCCAGGTCTTACTCATTCTGTTTCCCCATAGCGCACTGCAGAGCGGAGGTGGCTCAGCGAGAGCTGGCTTGAGCATGAAACTGAAGATGTCATCTCTTTGTAAATGAAGGTCTAGTGCAGCCCAGGTTATGGTGGGTTGTTCAGACACTGGCCATAAGTAGCAGCCAAGCTGGACCCCCTTACCCTCCTAGATGCCAGGCAACTGGCCCCAACCCAAGCAGATGGTGGGGAGAAGCCGAAAGGGGCAGAATGGGATCTACCAGGCCACAGGCTGCTCCCCTCAGGGGAGCCGACTCCCGCACGGGGCTGGCAGGGCCGCAGGGGTGCCTCTCGGCATGCCGGAAGGAATGCCAAGGCTTTTCTGTGCAGAACTGGGCGTTCAGAAAGCACTGTCTCCTTCACTCGGGTGGCTCCTCAACTCGGTCCATTATAGTCTGTGATCCTCACTTCATCACTTACAAAGTTCCCAGTGAAATTAAGGCTGGGTCACAATTCATGACACCAGATGCTACGTAGAAAATAAGTCAAGTTATAAAAGAAAACAAATGTCAGAGTTATAACACTAATTTAAGAGGGAAGCTAATCAGCAGACCACTGAATTGCTACGGTTGTTAGGGGTAGAAAATACCAGCTGCACTGGAAAAATGATCCAGCCAACAAAAGTACAAAAGCTCAGCTTGGACCAGAGGGCGCAGCCTCCTGTCCCGACTCTCACACGGTGGTTTCTATCGTTTCGATCACCTCCAGGTCGGACTGCGACGGAGACAGAAGGGTGCACTCGTCCGGTTCCCAGCTGCTCTCTGGACTGTAATCTTCCTCTGAGCTCAGTTCCGCTCCCTCTTCTGTGTCCTCATCACACGATTCCACATAGTGAGCCCCGATGGCATTGATCCCAGAGTCCTCAGAACTTGAGGGAGAAGAGCAGTGATCTATTTTTGGTGTATTGCTCTCTTTTGAAATTAAGGCATCGTGTGCAGAGACCTCCTGAGGGCTCATTTTGTGGGACTGTGGTGCCGGCTGCTTCTGCACGTAACACATCTTCCCATTAATACATTTAACCTGATAGTTGTCAATAAAGAGGTCTGAGATCATACAGTACCTTGGTGAATCAGGCGGGAGTGGAGGCTGGAAGACAGATGCAAACTTCAGAAAGTGTTCAGTGAGGGAGACTGAGATCTGAATGGTGTTTGTGGGCTCCCGAGGCTCTGCAGGGATCTCCGTGCTTGGAAGCTGCTCCACGGGGGTCATGGGCTGGTACACGTATTTGCCTGTGAGGAGCACAAAACACAGTCGGGATCTAAGATTGTTACACAAATAACAGTAACGTGGCCACAATGGTTTCTCTCCAAGGACTCAGAATGTTCTTAAAAATATTTCAGAAACATCTCAAAAGAAACCAGTAATAGAATCATTCCACATTGTTTAAGCAATTAAGACTAGAACATGGTACATAGCATCATGGTATTTCCATCTAAAACACTCAACACACTTACAATCTTAGTTTATATCTGAGTCTTTCTAATGCCTCTGAAGTAGGTGAGTGGTACTATAATCCTTACTTAACAGACAACTTTAAATGATTTATTCCTCATACTAGATAGAATAAAGAATGACCATGATATAAAACAGTAAAAACGCAAGTTTAAGACAGTATCATAATGTGATAAAATTAATTTCATTTTTATCTTTAATAATTATGTTAATATATACATTTGCCAACTGGAAGAATATATACCAATTTATTTTCAGAATTAGAGAAGACTTTGACTTTAGGTTTCTATGTTTTAATCAGAATATACAGGGCCCTGGCTGGCGTAGCTCAGTGGGTTGAGCGCGGGCTGCAAACCAAAGCATCGCAGGTTCGATTCCCAGTCAGGACACATGCAGGCCACGGCCCCCAGCAACCACACATTGATGTTTCTCTCTCTCTTTCTCCCTCCCTTCCCTCTCTGAAAATAAGTGGATAAAATCTTTTTAAAAATCTTTTAAAAAAAGAATATACATACACACATTTAAAAGTGATGGCCAACATGATTGTGCTGGCCACTCCCAGTGTGGCTGGGGTAAGGTGTGGGGTGTGAAACGATCTCTTGCAAGACAAAGCTGGTCAGTGTCCTAAGTAGGCAGTGTTTTCCCTGACACCCACTCCACTGGCACTAAGCAACCTAAGGCAGAAGCCAAGGAAAGGGGCAGGCGCAGTGGGTAGGTAACCTGCTCAATGTTTCCAGGAAACCAAGAAGCTTATCTCCGAGCCTTCCACTCTGCTCTGCACCCTCAGTGATTCTCACGGTTCACGTGAAAGTGAAACCTAAATGGATCTGTTCCTGATGGGTCTTTTTCCTTCCCTCTGATTTCCTTCAACATTTAGTAAAGCCTCCCGTGTACAGTGTTAAGAAAACTGAGACAGATGAAAATTACTCAGGTCATGAGTCTAAAATGATTTCAAAATAGAACTCTGGAAGAAAATAAATCAGAAAAACTCACAGACAGCAGCGACAATTACAGGCATCACCTTGGGATTTTCCCAATGCAGTTGACTGACCAATCCATCCATCCATACCTTCCGTGCATGTCTGTGATGGGGTTTTTAAACCTCAGCACCACCGGCATCTGGACCACATAATTCTTTCCAATCTAGGAGCTGTCCTATGCTCTAGCGTGTGTACTACCTCCTTGGCCTCTACCCCCTAGATACCAGTAGACACTAGATACCTCCTCCTCGGGCTCCACAATCAAAAGGTCTCCGGACATTGTCTCATACCCCCAGGGACCAAATCACCCTGGTGGAGAACCACTATTTACCACATCCTCATGATGCAGGTAAATTGCTCACTGTGGATGACGCCTGTTCCTCCTGTTGTTTTATTTCCTGGTCAGACTGAAAATTCTAGGATAGGAATCGCATGCAGAGTGCAAACTACCTTAGATTGTTTAAATAAGGTAATTTACAGAATAGCAATTTCAGATCAGAAATGTGAGCAGCAAACTAAGCCACAAACAGCGCAACACTGGTAATAGATCAATCAAGCCTTCCTGTATTTTTTACATGTTTCTTAACTTCCGTTAAAAAAAAGTAGGCTTAGATGCCGCATTTTTTTTGCAACTAAATGACCTTAAAATATATTCAGCTTCATTCTGCAGTAATACGTGGAAAAGGTACACTGAAAATGCTAAGCCTTTGGGGTCCAAGGTCAATCCCAGCTTGGACACACATCATGCAGTCCCTACAGGCTGACAAAAATGCACATGAGAAGAACCTGTCACACCTGCCTGGAAAACTGTTTAAAACATACCAGGTATATCTTCATGTCTGTGTCCCCTAAAACAGGGGACTAGTTACTCCTTGTCAGGCAAAGGTCTGACAGTGTGGTATGGTAGGCCCTCTGCCTCCAGGCACTGCGAACGGGCTTGTCAGCTGAAGGGACAAAAAAGGTAGACCCTGCAGCCCTGCAGCCCCAGGATCTGAGGAAGGTGTGTCCAGGCAGAGGACAGAGAAGGGACTTGTAGAACTTGGGGGACTACTCCCCACTGTCCAGAGAGTAGTGAACAAAACACCTGGAATGAAGGTTTATTCTCTTCTGTTGGTGACTAGTATTAGAATGACAGTTTTTGAGTACAGGAGGCTATGAGTGGCAGGCACTCAAGAAATGCTTGTTGCAGAATGCTAATTAAGTTCATTCCAGCCCAAGGGACCTCTGGTTGAGTTACCTACTGGTCACAGCTACAAGAAGTTCCTGGCAACTGATCCTCAGACCTGGAGGGGTCAGGGCTTTATTTAGTCCAAATACGGAAGCAACCTAGAAGCCCAACTTGGGGTGTCTCTAACCACCCTCACCTAATCTCACGGAACCCTCCTTGCCCCACCTCCTTTGTGCTTCTCCATAATTAACTTGTTTGCTTTTTCTTAATTCTCCTACCTCTTTCTTTCTCTAATCTGCTTTCCTCCAAAGCTCTATTTTCTTCCCTTGAAGTGTAGTAAAAGAAAGAGAAGTGCAGCTGGGAGAGGAAGATGAATGCTGCACCCCAGACCCATCTCGTCTACAAATCACACCCATGAAAGGGGCCTACGCACAGCAGGGGAGGCCCCGCGTCTGGTGATGTGGGTGGGACACAGATGCATGGAGGAAGGAAAATAAGGGAAAAACAGTAAAGAGGGCCAGATGAGAAACAAAGTTTAGTAAACACATTTCAAATGTTATCATATAATACTATGTTGTGTGATTTGCTTATAAACACCTACATAATAAAACAAAACAAAGTCACATCGAGGACTTGGTTTTGTGAAGAGTTCAGAGGGGTTAGTACGTAGCCCCAGTCCCCAGTCACTTCCACCCTCCGCACACCCTGCTCCGCTCACAACGACAGCCCTGAGGCATCATGAGATCCCGAGTCAGCAGAGAGATTCAATTACGTCCACTCTGCCGTATTTATTAAGGGAGGAAAATGAACTGTAGCACTTCTGCAATAGCAAAGGCTGAAACACAGGGGTTTCTGGTCACTTTGCCAGGAAATTCAGGAACTGCCATACTCTACACTCTAAACAATCTTCTTAACTAAGGACTTACTACATTATTAGAGAAACAAATACATGAGAACTTTTAAAACTTAAATCCCTAAATGGAAAAGGTCCACAGGGAGTCAGGGCTTAGAGAAGAGCAAGGCAGAGGGAGAGTAAAAGGGGGACCTAGACACAGAATGGCCCATCGACCCCACTGCTGGGAGCAAGTCCGAGAGAGTGGAAAACAGGGTCCCCAGGACACCCCTGTACACCGTGTCCACAGCAGCATCACTCACAAAGGCCAGAAGGTGGAAGCAACCCAACTGTCCACCACAAATGGATAAGCAAGTTATGGTATATACACAAAATGAAATATTATTCAGCCTTAAATTGTAAGGAGATCCATACTACAATACTGATTAACCTTAAGGACATAATGCTAAATGAAAAAAGCTAGTCACAAAAAGAAAATTACTATATGATTTCACTTACATGAGGCACCTAGAACAGTCGAATTCATAGAGACACAAAGTAGAATGGTGTCGCCAGGGCCCCGGGGGCAAGAGGGAGTGGGGAGTGGAGCAGACTCTGACGGGCGCAGAGTTTCAGCGTGCCGGCTGACAGCGTCCTGGAGACAGGCGGCGGTGGTGGCGGCACAAAAGTACGAATGTAGTTAATACCGCTGAACTGCGCACTGAAAATGGTTATGATAGTAAAGTTTATGTTGTATTTTACCACAATTTTTTAAATTAAAAAAATTAGTGTCCTGGCCGGGTGGTTCAGATGGTTAGAGTGCTGTCCTGTACACTGAAAGGTTATGGATTCAATCCCCGGTCAGGGCACATGTGGGAGGCAACCAATGGATGTTTCTCTCTCACGTTGATGTTTTTCTCTCCCCCACTCCCTTCCTCTCTCTCTGAAATCAATAAACGTATCCTTGGGTGAGGATGAAAAAATTATTACAATTCACTGTATTAACAGACTGAAGGAAACGCCATATGATCCAGAACATACAGGGTGAGGCAAAAAAAGGTTTACAGTTGTGAGTGTATGAAATAGCCTTTATTCTTGTATTATTATTTATTAAATATTGTATTATTGCCCATACAAACCATTGTAAACCTCCCCACCATGTATAAAGAATTCTACAAGAACTGGAAGGTCACCAGTTCGATTCCCAGTTAAGGCCCGTGCCTGAGTTATGGGCCTGGTACCCAGCTGGGGGTGTGCAAGAAGCAATCGGTAGATGTTTCTCTTACACATTCATGTTTCTCTCCCTCCCCCCCCCAAAAAAAAATAAATAACTAATTTTTTTAAAAGAGCTCACAGACTCAGAGAACAGTCTGGTTGTTGCCAGAGGCAGAGGGTGGGGGATGGACAGAATGGGTGAAGGGAGTCAAAAGGCGCAAACTTCCAGCTATAAAATAAGTCATGGAATGTAAAGTGCAGCATGGTGACTACAGTTAATAATACTGTATTGCATATTTTAAAACTGCTAAGAGAGTAAATCTTAAAAGTTCTCATCACAAGCAAAAATCTGTAGACCTATCGTGGGCACAATTTTGCAATACATACAAATATCAAATCATTATGTTGTACACCTGGAACTAATATAACATTGTATATCAATTATACCTCAATAAAAAAACTGCATGTGAATTTATTTTCTGAAATCAAATATATAATTTAAAACAATGAGGAAAAACCCATAAAAGTGATTTGCACCGTTTTCAGAGCATTTTATCAGAAGGCACAAACTACTGATTTAGC